AAATGGATCTCTGGAAGTAGCTAGAAGAGTATTCAATTTTATCAACGAGGAAGTCTCTAAAGGTGGTAGAAACAGGATTCTAACCCTATAGAAGGATATAATGCCTCAAAGTTAAGGACTATGATGTACTCTTCCTCAAAAATACCAAGTCTTAGAGCTTCCTAACAAGAACCAAGGGCTGTGTAATGTTATAGTCATAGGTGGAAAGAGGAAGCATATATAACACATATTAATTATTTGGAGACAATGCCCTGAAATCCAAGAATTTATTTGTATCAACACCAACACATATGGCCTCACCTTGAACCTGGAACAAATTGGCCTGGAACCTGGAGTGATTATCTTTCAATGCAAGACTGAAGGAATATAAACATAACATTTAGAAGTCCAACCCAGTCACAACCCTCACTATCTATTCTCTTTCTGACTCTGTCAATGTATGCTGACACTATGCTAAAATCATTAAAAGTATTAGAAATAGACATCATATACATTACATGAAGGCTCTATACATTTACATATATGTGCAACAGGGTTGTTCCATCAACTGTAAGGGTCTTAATGTCCTTTTGGTGACCTGTAAGACTTTCTATGAGTTGGATATGGGATAATTGGAATAGATTTCTCCCTTCGTCTTTGGGATACTCACCTTTATCTGCCTTGTTTATTTATTTATTATGTATATTTATGTATCTATAATTAATGTATGTANTGAAAGGTAGCAAATATGCTGCTAATTAGAATAACTGTTATCATTTATACTTGTCTTAAGCAAATATGGAAAAATCTTTAGACTAGAAACACTGTGGTTCAAGAGTGAGAGGATATTATGAACAGATATGTTCAGAAAATTAATTAAAATAGTTAATGTTTTTTCTTTTTAGTATCCAATTAATGTAAACTATTTATTGTGGATATATGTTTTATGGTATATAATGTTATTGGTGGTGGATATGAGGAACCAACAGAGATAAAAACTGTGGAATGTATTTTATTTAATCATGTTTCAATCTATGAATTTTGTTCAGTTACTCTTTGTTGAATTGACTGAAGATGAGGCTGAAAATGAAATCAAGGTTGATGAAGATTTAGATTATGGTAGAAAGGATTCTGGTTCAGATAACAAAGTAATACAAAGGGAGGAAGAAGCAACATAATTTTATGAGTGTACTAGATGGCATTGGACAGTTGTTCAATTCCATGATGAAGAATTATATTCCTAATCACAAACTTATGAGAGGATGTAGTGTCATATGTCACTAGCACTGTGCCAAAATTTTGTAAGGGATTTTAAGTCTTAAATTCAACAAAAAATTCTTCCCAAAAATACAGTAGGAGGCCTTGCTGAAAGGATGTGAACATCCTTACTTTAAAATTTCTGAATGTTTTCTAATGGGGCATATAGAATAAAATCAAATAAGTACAATACCACATTAGAGTAAGATCATGTGACCTCTGAAATCTGGTCACTAATCACTTTTTGCTTTGTCTCCTCAAGATGAGGACATAGTGCATATGTTCTCTGCACCGTTTGTTCACACATATTTTATGATACCTGTAGTGATATTGGCACTCCTCATTCTCCCTCAACTGTGGTTTTGTCGGTTCATGTGCAATCCATTTGCATGTAGTTGTAAATGGCAATAAGAAGTGTAGACAAAGGGCTGTAAAAGGAAGGGTGTAAAGGTGGGAAAAAAGTGTCAGGCAGAGGAGGTAGGAGATCGAGAGAGAGAGGAAGCAGTAGTGAAGTGGTGGAATTTGAAACTGGGATTAGAGATTAAAAGTTTTGTTACAATATTTGGTTGTTCAAGTTTTTGTGTGATGAACCAGTGGTACGGAATCTATAAATCAGATCGGATTCTCTACATTACCTTTTTAATATGTAATTGTTTTTCATGTGTCTATCCAATAAAATCAGTAATTGCTTCTTATATGAAATCTGTAATAAATTTCAGATTGATAATTATGATTCTGTAAATATTTTCACTGTCCATGCATTAGAAAAATGAGCAATGGAAAGCTTCACCAAATGTCAACAAATATTATAGTATGGAGAGCCCTGTCACAATATGTCCTTGGTCCATGATGTACCATAAGCACTGTTCTAAGAAAGATTGTAAATTTTTCTTAGAACAGTGCTTATGTGGACTGCTCTAAAAATGATGCTGACATGACACTCATTTAAATGAAATGCTCCAATATCTGGTCTTTTAACAAGATTCCCACTGATGTAAAACATAAAGGAAAAAAACCAGGAATATGGCAAGTGCTGTCTTAAACAAACTGTTCCCATCTGATGCTTGGTTAAGTAGACTCAATTTTATTTGTTTTTACATAAAATCTTACTAATTTCAAAAATTAGTCCAGCAAATTGTCAAAATTATCTCCTTTCTAACGTTTTCAATCTAAGTCTTTCAGCTAGAATTTGAAGAAGTGTTAACATATTTTGTTTTTATTGAAAGGTATAATATATTGTTATTTATTGTGAATTGTCTATATAAATACTGTACTAATATGGTATTTTAACAATTCCAAACTTGTTCTATAAAGGAAAGTAACAGGAAAAGAAAATATTATGTAATCAACTACAACTACAACTTTATTTTGTTAAATAAAGAGCACAAGTGTTATTTCTCCATTTCTATGAAATAGATTTTTAGAGTAAATTTTGATTTTTTTCTCTTTTTCTGAAGTTTTATTTAACGTTCTAGTATCCTAATTATTATTTGCATTACCAAATATGCTCTAATGTATTAACCTGTATTTTTCTTTTTATATTTTAACTCATCATTTGTTTGAACTGTATTTTTGCTAAATTATGCCAATTTTTAATTCTCTAATCTGTATAATTTCTTCATGCACACTGGGGTGTATAATAAATAAATAAAACCTACTTACTCGAGCCTCTAACCAGTGTGTGGAAATACAAACAGTAAACAATTTTGTAAAAACAAACATTTTCCGAACACCTTCCGTATCCTTCTTCAGGTAAAACAGCTGGATTCCTTATTCTAAAACACCATCACGCAATTTCAAAAAGAAAAATTTGAATGAAGATTCGATTGTGCAATGTCTACTGCGCATACCTGAAAAGGACACGGAAGGTGTTCAGAAAACATTTGTTTTTACAAAATTGTTTACTGTTTGTATTTCCACACACCGGTTAGAGGCTCAAGTAAGTAGGTTTTATTTATTTATTATACATACCTGGGTGTGACNTCTGCTGACCACTTATAACAAGTTTGACAAGAAAATAAAACTTCAAGGTCACTTTGTATCAGGTTGATCACTTTATTGAACAGAAACACATAATGCAATAGTTGTTGTGTACTTTTTATCCTGAAGTACCTAATCTGAAAGCTGTATATGATAGTCTACCAAACGGAATTGATCGGATTAAAGAGACACATTCACAACGAAATAGCAGCTGCCATAAGGATTTTTTGAAAGAATATTTGGATATGGATGGAGAAAACAGTTTGTACTTTTGAACTGAAGAGGGACTTAAAATACAAATAAGTCCGAAATGCATATGACAAACCAATAAAAGAAGTACCTAACCTGAAAGCTGTATATGATAGTCTACCAAACGGAATTGATCGGATTAAAGAGACACATTCACAACGAAATAGCAGCTGCCATAAGGATTTTTTGGTAGAAATTATTTTATTAATTTTTAGAATTTACAACAAAATTTTTTATGAATATTAATACTATGCTACAAAATTCAAATGGTGCCTTCTCCCTTAATTGGCTGAGAGGACACCAGGGAAATATTGGCAAGAAAAAAGCCGACAAGTTAGCAAAGAAGGCAGCCACCAACCAAGAAAACACCATAATATACAGCAAATTACCACCTGTGACAGGATTTCAATGCTATGAAAAACTATATTTTAAAAGAATGGCAAATGTTTTGGGACAACTTCCATAATGAAACAACTTATTCATACTTACCAGACATTAAAAGTATCTACAAGATGAATTGGCTCAAAATCGATCACAATACAACCCAATTTATAACAAACCATGGCTGCTTTCAAAGCTACTTACACAGATTCAAAATTAATGATAGTGATAAGTGCTCTATTTGTGACAAAAAACCGATGGAAGCGACCACTACCTATTTGACTGTTTGCCCTATAGTTGAAAAAGAAAGGAAGGACTTACAGCAAATTTTAGACTTCAAACATATAGATTGGCTATGTAATAAATACCTTCTCCTGCAAAGAAATCTACAGAAATTTGAAAGAAATCTACAGGTCTTTCAAAACTCTTATAGACATATTTCAAATGGACTTTAGTGCAAACATTATACTGAATATTGTCAGTTTTCTGGAAAGCTACCCAGCCCTTCATTGTGTTAAGTCCCACATGTTGCGAGTAGTGACAGTCTACTCTTGCCCATACCATTCATTACTGTTACACACTTTTAACATCTTTTTGTACAATGATGACTGTATGTAGTTTACCACCAGTTGTGCTAAGCAGTACTGGGTATGTACATTTCACTTGTACCTGATTAATAAGAAAAAAAAAAAGTGGAAAAATCCTTCAGAATTCTGTATTTGTGCTCCTTGATCCTCATTTTTAGACCACGAGCAGTAGCTCCAATATATTCACATGGACAGTTTACTCTATGATCTTGTACAGGGATAGTATAGACTCCTCAGATGCAATTTCTCTCCAATTGGTCCTTATTATTTCTAATACAGTACTAGAAAAAACAGTAGGAAATCTCCTGTAAGATCCTGTTACTCGTAATGTGGGAAATTTTCTTGTAGAAGTTGGCAACGAACTTATTATAAGTAACAAGTAAAAAGGACCAGTCTTCTGAATTTAATGGTTCTATTGGATGTTCTTGGATCCCCTGCACACCTTACCAATGCTCTTATTGTATGCCAAGAACATCTAATTCATTATGTTGTTGGTAATTATGTATTTCAAAAATGAGAACTTTAGACCCAAATTTTGAAGTGAAGAAGTTTACATATTCAACATTTTTAATAATAAATAAATTACAAACTAAATAAACTTCCACTTACTTTATTTTGACAAATTAATGGCAGATTTCCATACTGAATTTGCATAAGCAAACATGGTTTGCAGAAGACATGTTCACAGCATAAAAGACAATAGAAACTTTCATCCTTAACACCACAACAAATAGGACATATTTCATTCAGTTCATCATTTAGTTCTTTATTCTTTTGAATCTTTGTATATAGTTTATTCAAGTTGGTTTCAAACTATAATGTAAAATTTTAATGCTTAATAAATCAAAATGTAAATGTTTCATATAAAGTTCAATATATGGGATGATTCAAAAAGTTTAGATAAAATGTAAAGATAGATCAGGAATACAAAAACAAACCATTTTTATCTAGGATGCAAACCCCCAAGCTATATGCCCTCATGCCTTGAAACAATGGTTCACCATAAATGTTTAAGCAGGCATTGTTGGAGACTGTTTTCTTGGGCCGTACTTTCTTCCAACAAGCCTGGATGGGTGAAGTTACAGGATATTCCTGGAAGAAGTATTGCACGATGTTCCTGCATATGTGGTTTCAGCATGATGGGATGACCACTCATTTCAGCCTGAATGTATGGAGTATCTCCACAGCACCTTTTCTGCATAATGGATTGACTAGGGTGGACCTATTGCTTTGTCTGACATTGATTTCTTCTAAGGTTACCTGAAAGGTCTTATCTATGAGACCCTCCAGCCTCAGATGTTGACCTTGCTGTGAGAGTTATTGTAGCAGCTGCAGGTATTCACAAGAGGGCTGGCATTTTTGAACATATTTGCCAATCTATGTGCAGACACTGAGAGGCATGTACTGCTGCTGGTGGAGAGAATGTTGACACCTCCTTTCAACTTGTAACAGACTGTGTGTCTAATAAATATATTGTACATTTTACATGTATTACTTTCTGTGTGATTCTTTATGTACTTCTAGCAACTCCAGGTGATGTTTGTGGCTGTATGGTCCTAGGTAAAAATTGTTTTTGTATTCTTGACCTACCTTTAAAGTTTGTCTAAGACCTTTTGAATCATCCTGTATTACTATGATTTTAGATTATTTTAATCTATCTATTACTTTGATTACATATGATTCCAAAATTTGTTTTTCATTCAACATGTTAAGATTAAATACATCAATTTGTGCTTTATGGAATCTATGTAAACAATTAGCATCATATCTACAGGTATTCCACAAGTGTGAAATCATACACAAATCATTTATATTGATTTTTTTAAATAATATCCTTATTGGAGAGGCAATCAAAAATCTATTGAGTGATTGGTAAGAAGTTCTGCTTTTGCTCCTTTACAGAAGAAATTCAGAATTGTATATTTGAAGGGTATATATAATTAACATAATATACTAGAATATATAAAAATAACACTTAAGTGAAATATCATGTGTTATTTTTATCATAATTGGTAAATAAATTTGATTAGTATTTGTGTAGCATATTTAATAATGGACATATTTTAACACATCATATGAAATAATATTTTTTCATAAGAGTAATTTGATGTAGTATATTTATTTCTTTTGTAATCTCTACATCTGGAAAATGTTGTAGTCTAGTGACTGTTATCACATTTTAGGCATCCCGTATCCTGAGGCAATAAGAGATGAAAGGGTCTATGAACCAATGAGAAGGGAGAGAATTCAGGTGACAAAAAGGGATAGGGTTTTTGGTCATTCTGTGCTGAACCTTGAGAGAAGGTAGATATGTAAAAAGATGAGGTAAGCTCCACGTGTCCAAACTCAGTGTAATCAAAAGAAAAAGTCCCTTCGAAAATACAGTGGAAATGAAATATTGGCTCCGCAGCAAATTTTGCATGTATGAATTCACATAATCAACCTCATATTAAAATTACTAGTTTGATTTTATTCTTTATATCAAAAAATCCATTTTTCTGCTCCATATATGGCATGTATTTGGACAAACTGTAAAAGTTCCTAGTGGTGTGAAACCATCGTCATTTAAGAAGGGCCCCTCACCACAGTGTATCTATATGAAGCTAAACTGGTCTCTTCATTAGACATAAATAAACAGAGATTAATTATACAAGATTAAATTTATATATATGCAGCTGTTAAAACAAACAGCTTGAACAGACAGAAAAGTTACTTAGAATAGGTGATTGCCATCCATGTCTAAAAGATGAGTGATGTGAAAGAGAAAGAGGAAGGGGGAAAGGGCTGTAAGACTAAACTTTGTAGGGGGAAGGAGTCTACATCTTAAAGACAATAGCTGCATTTTTTCTCATAGCTTTGTAAATTTTTAATTCTTAATTTTGGGAGGTACTACACAGGAGGAGTGCTCAGTCAAAATGTATGTCTATATCAGGATTGGAGGCAAAGGTTGTTAATGTGATGTTGGGAAGCCCTTTCCTGATGGAAGTCAATGTTCTTTGAGGTGAGTGTTTAAAGCTTGCCCTGTAGCATTCATATGTATTCTAAGCTGTAGGTTGGCCCTGTGATCTGTAACAGGGATAGTATATACAACAGGTTGGAGGTGCATTTATTATTAGAATTTATTGTATTATTATTAGAATTTATATGTACAGTAGTTATTTGTCTCCAAGCTTTGTCCCCCATGAAAAATTTTCTATGGACATCCATGATTTTAATCATTAATTGTATTTATCAAAGAAGTGGAAATTTAATCATTTAGGCATCTTATCATTAATGTATGTTGGAACAATATAATTCACAGCTAAACTGGATAAATATGTGGAATACTAATTAACAAAAATATTTGAAAAAGATGAAATAATCTTATAATTGTTTAAATATTATGATTTTAACTGTGTAGTTTCTCTATTTTTTCACAAGGAGTTTTCATTATCAATTAAAATCAAATGCTATGTGTAATCATTTATTTAAGTAAGACTGTTGTGGAAAATTTTTTTGTATTTGTACACACAAACTCCTTGTGTCTGTGATTTCTATTTGCCTCTTATTTTCCTGAAATACAATGACTGTACTCTTTATCTGTTCTTATATATCTGAATTTCTTCAGAAATTTTTTGTAATCATTTTTGATAATTTTTACAAATTGGTATCTACATCAGTATTGCCAAAGACAAAGGTATACCTTTAGATCATGATTCATTAAAATCTAAATAAGAATATAGAACACTTTTTAAGTTATTCTCCTACTCTTAGATGTGTTTTGAAAATATTTTTAATCTATTGGTCTATTGTCTTACCTTTTTGATAGAAGCATCAGTTCCACAAACCATTATTAAACGCTCTTCAAAATTAAATTTAAGCTCTTCAAGATTACAGGACTTTCTTAAATCATCAAGGTTATGACCATATGATTTAGCAATAGCACACAATGCACCACGAGGAATATCATCTCTCAGTAATTCAAACTGTTTGTAAGTTTTGGAATTATCCAAAAAATTGTTAATTATATTTTTTGCAGTTTTAGTGTTTTGAAGATCACCACAAATTGAAATTTTCTTTTTAATACAATCAGTTTGAATATATAAATGGAATGTTTCCTCTAAATTTTTTATTAATTCAGTTCCACTGTTTAAACTTATATTATTAAGTTGTGTTTCGTTTAAATCACTAATACATTGACCTTCTATAATATCACAAAACATTGACTTAACTTTAATTATATCATTAATATTATTACTTTGAATCTTAATTGACACAAGATCTCCAAATGGTTTTGCTACAATTTTCAATGAATCATTACTGTTTTCTCCAGTTGTAAACATATTTATTGCTTCTTCAAGTTGATCTTTTATGCAATAAAATAACTTTAAGTGACAATTTATTGCAAGTGATAAATCTAATTTTATTTGACTTCCTGTAAGTGGGATATTTTTTAAAGATGCTATTGCTGTAAAACCATCAAGAATATTTGTGAAGGAAAGGGTAGCTTTCCAAACAATTGAAGATTCTTTTGGTTTTTCAATGTCAATTTCTAATTCTTTAGAATTAGTATATTTGTCAAAAATATTATGTAATGTCATCTTAATTATTTCAATTTCATCCTCTGTAGATGAATATGCTTTTTTACGAGACACTATAATACTTTTATAGGAAATATCTGACTGTAATGTCTTTATAGCAGATTCAATATCTCCTGCTGTTGTTGTTTCAGGCAAATTTTTCAAACTCAAACTATCTCTCTTTTTTTTGTTTATTTGAAGAATTGTTTTTTTCCCTTTGATTTCAATTTCAATTGTAGGTAACTTTGAAAGCATTTCATGTAATTCAACTTCAGATTCAAAATTAATAAATCCTATACCTAAGCAAGGTCTTCTAAACCATGTCATTGTCAATATAAGAGGTGGAGGTTTCTTAAAAGATGAATCTAAATTTGTTTGATATAAAATTTTGAAGTTAGTTTCATTAGAAAATTTATTTACTGCATTTTCTGCAAAGGCAGCTTTCTCGAATGTTACAATAATTCCTTTTTTATTTACTTCATAATTACAAATTTTTCCACAGTTGTCCTCTAACATACCCAAAATATCATCTAATGGTTTATTGGATTTGATATGTACATTACGACTTTCATTCGGCATCATTACATCTTTCACTACCATTCCAGAACCAATTAGCAATCTAATATTCTTTAGATAACCATCAATAAATATTTCATTTTCTACATTTAATATCTTTTCTTTCTCATTTTGCAATATTTCATATATAAAAATTTTAACCTTATCAACATTTTTTTGTTTTGTATGTACAATGATTTCACCTTTCAGTGAATTAATTTCAATTCTAGTTATATTATCCTGTACAATATTTCTTACTTTATTTTCAATTAAATTCAAATTTTGTTTATTCCTTCCCATCAAAGATTTCAATAAAGGTAGACTCAAATCAGAAATTTTGATTGATACTAACATTTGCATCTTCAAATCATTAACACTAACAGGCAATTTACCATCTCTTTCCATTTCAAGTAAAACTTCTTCTTTAATAGCATTAACACCGAGAATAAAACAATCTGATAATTTAAATATCTTCTGATATACAATAAATTCAGGAAATATTCCTAAATGTTTTATCGATGTTAATGAATGAATCAATAAATTATTAGGATAGAAAGCATTCCAATATTGTTCATTTACTTGATCTGAACAACAACATAAATTATTTGGATAAGCTTCCAAAAGCAGCTTTTGTATTTTAATATCACAGTTGGCCTTGTCAGATGAATTTTTCTTCTTACATATTTTTGAAACATGCAATGTAATATTATTTGAAAGTTCATGATATATTTTTATTGCATTTATATTAATATTATTTAATTGACACCAATAATGTTTTGACTTTTTAGGTACTGAGAGCCACTCAGTATACATTGTATGAAAAGTTTTCCAGTCACCATTTGGTTGATTAAATCTCCATTGCTTTGTTTGTTCGATAGGATCTTGATGGAAACTAATATATCCAGAAATTATAGATAATGCCGCAAGAGTAGAAATTTCAAAAGGAATTCCTTCTTCATAGCCTCTAATTATTAATTTGGCAGTACTTGGTTCAAAATTTAATTTTGACATTTCACTACCAATTTCTGTTAATTTGTTGTCTTTTATTGCATTTAACTGAATAAGTTTTTTCTTAAATGTATTTAAATAATCAACAGAAATATTTTTTCCATAATTAAAGTTAAACGGATTTATTTCATGCTGTAAAAATAACAGGAATAGATGACTTAAATCATTCTGATATAAATCAGATAATTCTTTATCATTCATTTTTTCCTTATAATCATCTTTGCTAAATAAACGATAACATATTCCTGGACCATGACTTCCTGCACAAGATTTACGCATTTCCGAAGAATATTTGCTTTGAAACTTTTTCCAAATGTCACAACTACCATTGCAAGAATTGTAAACCTCTTTCAATGTAAAACCACAATCAATTACACATTGAACAGAAGTCATAAGTTTAGAAATTCTACCACAATCTGTTGAAAAAATAATTTTTCGTTTGTCTTTATTAGCAGAAAACATTTCTTTCTGTTCCTTTTCATCTTGGAACTCATGAAACTGAATCAATTCAAATTCTTTGATTCCCTTTCTATCTAAAAATCTTTCAAGAAGAAAAATAGCTTGCTGAATATCCAAAACAGATGTTAAAAAAATTAAAATATTTCTGGTAATAATTGTATTTTCACAAATAAACATGATACATTCGACACAATCCTGAATGTAATTGAAACCTATATCAACATTATTCTCTTTCCATATTATATTGACAGGATAATTCCATTTACCAAAATCACAAATTATTTCTTTATTTACTGGAAAATAATTCTCAATAGCAGATATATCATTTGTTATAAATAATAATTTAAAATTCGTTTCATTAATTGGTCTCTCTCGTAATAACAACAATAAAGCTTCTGTATATAAATATCTTTCTTCTATTGTATCAAAAATAATACATTTTATATTTTCCAAATTCTTATTGCGTAAAAAATACTTTAAAAATGAATAATCTGTCATACTAATAATGCCAGAATTATTCTTTTGAGTAATAAAATCAAATGCTTTCTCATCATCTTGAAAACTTTTAGATACTTTCATTTTTGGTTTAATATGAACGATGATGCCATCTTTTGCATAATTGGTTTTTAATAGATAATGGCCAATTTCTGAATTGTCATATAAATGGTTATCCATATGAAGTACACATATGTTACTTTTTTCCAAAATGTTAGTGATTGTGGACTTTTTAGAGTATGCGGGATTTCCTGATAAAAACAAATGGCATTCATGTTCAATTTCTTTCTTAATTTCATCAGTTAAGTTTATACAAATATCTGTTGATAAACTTGAACATTCTTCTACTTTTCGTTTTTTATTTTTAATATAACTTAAAAACTCTGACTTTTGCTCATTCATAATTTTAAGCCGGTTTTCGGTCACATGTCGACATTCAGATTCATCAATATCAGGTAAATAGAAAGAAGAGGGATTTTCTGTAAAAAATTTTTCTTTCTTTGTATTATGTAATTTTACTGATTGATCTGATTTTGAATCTATTAATTTTAAACATTTTGAAATTATTTCTACATTGTTATCTAATTTCACAATATTTTCTTTTTCATCTGATATAATATTGTGTATTTTTGGTGATGCTTCGTTCATTCTGTGTTTATTAATTATTTTCAATGCTTTTTTTGACTTATTTAAACTTTCAAAAGCAAGAGTTATTAATTTTTGTTGCTCATTTATATTCTGCATTTGAAAATTAGTTTTTGGAAAAAGAGTTTTGAAAAACTGTTGCCAGAATAACTTATTTTTACATTCTTCAACTTGTAAAATTATTTTAAATTCTTTATCATCTGTTGAATCAAAGGATTTTTCTTCTTTTATATTATTTTTTTCCACTTCTATTATGTCATTTTTTTCTACTTCTTTTAGTTCTTTACTTTCTTGAACTTTATTTTTACATATTTCATCTTTATTTACTTCATTTTTACATTCTATTTCTTTTGCAGAGATATTATTTCCAAATAAATTGATTTCATTCAATTTTGATAAAGCACTTTTCACCATTTTATCATTTTTAAAACCAACTTCTGCATTTCCATTATTAATTTTTAAATAATTATAATTATATCCTTTCAAAAAATCTATTAAAAATGTTCTTATTTCACCTTTTAGTTTTTTATTCATAGGTAGATTTTGTATAATAATATGTTTTTGTACTTTCTGATAATCAGGTAAATCTTTACAAAACTCATTAAATTCCTGTGCAAAATTTGCAACATCTTTAAGATTTTTCTTAGCTTGAATGTTATGAAGAACAATAATGTTTATTTGATGACGATATCGTAAATCATGAAGATCAGGTACAAAATCACAATCTCCCGAAATTAAAACAATGCAAGAATTTGGATGTCTATAATTATCTGCAAATCTGCGTAGATATACTTTTAATTTGTTGTCTGCTGCATTTTTATTTAAACAGTCTACATGAACAACAGTTACTTGAGCATCATTTAAATCTGTAACTATATCATCGTTAATATTTCTTATATCACATGAAACTAAAAATTCAGCTTCTGTACAGTTGCCATAGAATTTATTCCTAATTTTTTTTACTATATCTGAAGCTAATTTCTTGCTAGGAACAGGACAATTTTCAATGTCCCAATAGACACCAATATAACATTCTTGATTTATTGTGAACTTTTTGCTAGGTTTCACTGATATAGTATTATTAAAATTTGTCTCAATATCATCCATTTTGTCAAAACTGTCTGATGAATAACTGGAACTCTCACTTTCAGTGTCATAAATCTCTGACTTATCATCATCATCAGGAACTGAATTTGAAGCTTTAAGCTGTTTTGGAATTTCATACTTTATATTATCATTGCTATTATTTTCTAAATCATCATCAATACTTTCCACCTCATCATTAAATTCAAATAATTTTTCTGAAAATTTCCTAACAAATGTTAATAGATCTGGAATACTTCGTTGTTTAATTTTCATATTTACTGGTATATTTGTACTTCTGGCATTTTGTTCTGTGATATTAATTTTTTTATTTTTTTTATGTTTTCTCTTTCTTTCTTTCTTTTTCACAGATGGATCTAAATTCTGAGTTTTTTTGTCAAAACATTCTTCTGAATAATCAAGAATCTTATTTACAATAGAATTTTTATTTTTTGTGATTTTATTTGATTTTTTTTCAAAAGGACAAAATGAATTTAATTCAAATTGGCTACCACTAATATTCTCATTAGATTGTTTCCAATATGAAGAAATATTCTCATTTGATTTATACTTTTTCTTACTTTCTTTCATGTTGTATAAATCATAAGTGAAATTATCTTGCTTTTGATTTTCATTTTGGGATTTTTTATATTTAGTATTAAAGGAAAACTTTTCTCCTCTTCCTCTATTAAAATGAATTCCTCCTCTTTTTCTCTCAGAATGATTTTCATCTCTTTCTTCAGAAGAATAAGTTTTACTTCCACCTCTTGAGAAATGACTTTCAGCTCTTCCTCTAGAGGAATGACTCTCACCTCTTCCTCTAAAGGCGTGACACTCACCTCTTCCTCTAGAGGAGTGACACTCACCTTTTCCTCTAGAGGAGTGACTCTCACCTCTTCCTCTAGAGGAGTGACTCTCACCTCTTCCTCTATTTGCATGAATGTTTCCTCTTTTTGCTTGAGACATTATTAATTAATTTTTTCTTTTTATTGTAAATATTGTTGTACCATTTTCATGTGAAGTTTTTCTTAGAATACTATGAAAATAAAAATATAGACTAATTATTTCAATTTTAAAATTCAAGTGGTACAATTTTATACATAATATTTTCATAATTTAGTCTTATTTATTTTAAATTTAATTATTTATCATAACTGCTTTAATCAAAAGAACAAATGAAAATAATATATTTAATGAAATTTAAAATTATTTTTATTTCAGTTATAAATTTTTCAAACATTAATTAGATCTTGTCATTGGAATCAACTTATTTAATTTAAATAAAAACAGAATTAAAATCAAATTAAATATTTAAAATATGTTTTCTAATTAATGCAGGAATAATTCAAAATTCTTAATGTAATAAATAAATAAACAACAAAAATATAAATAATTGTTATACGGTGCAATCATAGTCCTTCTGTAGTGGGCAGGGAAATAGGAAGAGTTTCCAAGAACAAAGTAATGATGTCACAGCAAATCATGCATTGAAAGAGTTAACCATTTTATTGCTGGAACAAGCATACTTAAGTATCTATCTAGTGGCATTCTTTATCTGACTGTAAAGGTACTTTACCTTTACAGTCAGATAAAGTCCAGAGATTATATGTCTATTATGCCAAATGATCTTAAATTGATTCCTTTTGGTTATTTTAGCATTGGAACAAGTATGCATCATATGCTTGTGCTTTATGCTTGTGTAATCCTGAAAGATCTCTTTTACTCCCAGGCAGATGTTTAAGTGGACCTGTATACAACGAGTTTCCACAGGAACAAACAAAAAAAAAAAATGCTTATATTGTGTCATGTCTTAACAATACATAAGAGTTGATAATGATTAAAACAGATGATTTATTAGTCAAAAGGACAATAGAATATAAACTTATTTAGAATACAACATAATATGTACACATGGAATGCAAGGTAAGAATTGCACACAGTCTGTCAGTCTAATACACATGTCAGTAAGAATATCAGCTGCAACTTTTCCAAAAGGCAGAATACTCTCACTACCATAAATATTGCTTAAAATTATAGTTCATTATCCATTATTTTAAATAAAACAAATTATAAATGAATATATATTATTTCATTTCTTAACATCATATACATTATCATTATTAGCAAACTCCACATCAAATATACAGTACTTAACTCCTCAAATACAGTGGTAGAAAATAATCTTTTTATCCCCAACAGAATAAAAAACATTATCTGATTTATAATCAAAAGACTGCTGTCACAACCTCTCTCTCTGTTTTTTCTTGATTTTTTTGTGTCCCTGTTCTTTTCCTCTATTTCTAATTCTCTCAGTATCCTGTGAAGAAATAGAAGTGGAGGTCCTCTTAGTGTCCATAAGGCAGAGTCCAAAAAAAAAAACCATCTAGACACTGACTTCTATACAGTAAAAACTAGACAGATATCTTGAGGAGCAGTTGTCTGCTTTGGGACTAGATGTCACTTTTATTAGTCAGGATGATAAAATGACATTTTGAGAGGAATTCTCACTTGAATTTCTCTCAAAATGTCAGCTGTAAACAAGCAAGCAACCCTACTGATGCATATAGAGTATCATGTCATGCTTCCTGATTATGATTGAATTGCAACAAATCATTTTAAGTTGACTCCATCTATGTATTCTATCGGCAATATTATACAAAGTTGAATGGGATATTCTTGCTCTGTTTAGTACTCAGATTTTGTATTCATTTCTATCAGAAGTGAGAAGCATGCATCATCAACTGCCTAATCTCATGTCTATAACTTTAAGAGAATGTTGGACATTGACAAGATTTTTCAACTATTGAAAAGTAGAACTGGAAATTTAGAATTGATGTTAGCAAAAATAGTTGATGGTAGTCCAGACAAGAACTCAAGATATCAAAAGATAATTAATACTACAATTCAGGAGTTTTATGAGTTTAACCTTGACTGTCTGTTCATAGTAATGAATGCACCTGTGGTCAAAGTGCATACAATCAAGTGGAGTAGAAAATGGCATCACTTAGCCATGACTCTCCTAGCATCATACTGCCACTTGAGCAACTCCATTCATAGATCATGAAAAAGCTGCAATAGGTCCTAGGTGGTTGCCCTGGGAAAATGAAAAGCCAAGGGCAGACCCTGGAAAAACATTTTAAATTCAGAGGATTCAGGGCCCACCAGTGGCCAAACAGTTCTGTTCCCTGAACACTGGGAGTTTGGTCGTGGGTTTGCACCTTGTGTCTCACCAGGATGGCTGGCCACGTGGAATTACCAGGTTTTCACAACCTGAATAGGGGCCAGTTACCATTAAAAAGACCTTCTGGAAGGCATTCTCCCTAGGCAGATAACCAAGTGTTGCATTGCCATAACTTAACAAACAAACAAATAAACAGAGCTATTCAGTGAAAGTTTTTAAAATGGATACTGCATAAAATGAATGAATAACTGTGGAATGATTTATCTATATACTTTAGTACACTAACATTTTAAGTGAAAGCATGACAATTTCACTTAAAATATTAAATAGGAGAGTGAATGGATTATTTACCAGTGGCATGCGGTGACATTTGATGATAAGGAAGTTGTGCTGGCCTTGGATAGAATCATTGAAAGAGTTATACGATATTTTGGTATGTTGCATCCATGAGTTAAACCATGTGAGATTGGTACTCAGTAAAGCGCATGCGCGAATGTGTATAATCTGGCTGCTTTACACCATTCAAATATTTTCACTGCGGAACTATACCGTATTCGACAATACAGTGCTTCCATTGAGAATATGCACAATATGAATTTATATTCAAATACTAGCAGATGAACCTGACATTGCTCTGGCAAAAAGTAACAATAGCAAAGATTAAGATTATTAGATTATAGCCGATCTTACCCGTTTTCACCAGGTTGCAAGAATTATATCCCCCTCTTCTAAGACTGATTAGAGAATTTTTAGATGGGTGTAAAAATATATTCGATTTCCCACAAAAATGCAAAAAACTGCATCTAAATAGAACAGTAGAAGCCAAGTTTTTCAAGGTCATCTTTAACCTCTCCCACTCCCCACAGGGGAAATTTAAAAAAATCTATCTTAGTGTGCATTCTTGTGATGTACCCTAACTGTGTACCAAATTTCAACTTTTAACTTCTAACCATTTATTTGCTCTGAGCTTATTATCATCATCATCAACCCATCTCGATTATATTATAAGATACAATAGCAATCTTATCATTTTTTCATGTGTAAATTTGTAATAAGATACATAATGCAGTTATAATAAAATATTAATTTTAATTCAAAGTGCATTAAAATATGAAAGTAATCACACAATATGTATTTATATTTTAGAAAATACAAGGAAAGCGGCGCTTCCACAGCTTCCATGGATGGCACGCCACTGCAATATTTACTGTTCAGTCACTTAGGAATTTTGGGATGTACCCTAGCCAGTTTTGCTCGCACATGATTAGAGGTTGTCAGGCCAAGTGATTAAGGTGGCAGCTTACTGCTCTGGGGGACCCAGGATCAAATCCAGACAGGTCAAAAAATCCCCAGGAATTTTTCGGGGGGGTGGTCCATTCGGATATGTCAGGTCCCATCCTTCACCACCCGGCTGCCCCATTGTGGGCTTGGCAAGGCCCTCTTAGTACCCACAGGGTGGAAAGAGTTTAAAAAAAATTGCACATGATATGCAAGTAAAATTCGCTGCTAGTTACTAACAAGTAGAGTTATTAAATTATAACCTTGCCATAATTTTTTACAACAAATTCATGGACTATATTAATATGAATATCAGATCAATCAGTACATACTACAATATTTTTATGGTGAACATATCTCTTCCATATCTTCAATGATACTAAGTCAATTAGACAAAACATGAAAAAAGTATATGCTGCACTATAGTTCAATATGATGCTTAAACAAATACAGAAAATTCTGTGCAGTGAATGAACTAACAATGACAACTAAGAAAATGAGATTTATTAGAGTTTGGTATCTGGAAGAACTGAAAAACCCCAGGAATTTTTCAAGTGGTGGTCCATTGGGGTATGTTGGATTCCATCCCTCATCATTCGGCCACTCCTTGTGGGCCTAGCCAAATTCATAACAAGTTTGCTAAAAAAAGAAAAGAAAAAAAAAGTCTCTTGGTGCCCAAAGGTCTTAAGGAGTTTTTAAAAGATAGTAATTAATAAGTGATGTCCTGTGTAAAGCTAAATATTTAAAACAAAAATATGTATACTCTGTAACCAATATCTGGTGTGAAAACTCCAAACAAAGATTGGCAAACGTTTTCGATGCCCCTCCTGGGCTCTTCTTCAATTTCACATGTGAATGATTTATTTTGTTGATAAATCGATTAATTAATGATTAAAACATTTATCCAAGGGGGTTCCATTTTCTGGTTCTAACTCTAAATATTTAGTAAATAAACATGAACACCAATGCTATTTGATTTTAAGAGAGGGGAAAATACATTGTAGACTAGTCAAATAATTAAATATAGTATTGCTGTTAGTTGAGAGTAGTATTGAGTTAGTTGTTAATATTTTTAACTATTCCTTTTAAATCCTAGATGATTATGACCATATTGTTCGGTTGTAACTTGGTTCAGAGTGGCGGGATTGTTACAGCCGTGTAACAGTTGTGAAGATATAATTAGTCCAATTTAGCCTGTCAGTGGCCAAGCGGTTCTGTTCCCTGAACATTGAGAGTTCAGTTGTGGGGTTCGCGCCTTGTTAGGACGGGCTGGCCACGTGGAGTTTTCTTGGTTTTCTTAATGTCTGGATAGGTGCCAGTTACCCCTAAAAGACCTCCTGGAAGGCGTTATTTCCTGTGTACCAACGAATATGAAATATATAACTAATAACCGCATTACATAGCAATTCTGTCACACAGGGCACCATAGCCTAGCTGCTCTCGCCCAACGTGATGACAAAATAAGACAAGATTAAAGAAAATTTAATGCTTTGGTAGAAATCTCTAAATTTAGCAAAATTTTGGGAATATTACTTTTTTTAATGTTGAAACAATTTAGGTAGGTACGACTATTCAAA